TAATAATGAGCGCCAGAAGATTAGAGGTGTTACACGAGAGTAACCAGTAACAGAGAAAGAGAGAGACAACATGGACACACACACACACACACACACACACATACACATACACACACACACACATACACACACACACACACACACACACACACATTGGTACTTTCTCTGACAGTGCGCACAATAGCATCGTCGAGGGTGATTGCTGTAAAGAAAAAAAAAAGAACAGTGTCTGGGTTGCTTGTATTGAAATTGCATTTTTGACTTCAGCAACAGTAATCGTTTGATGGTGGTGGCAGTGGAGGTAGTGGTGGTGGTAGTGATAGTGGTGATGGTAAACAGTTACTATAACAACTATATCGGTAAAAATGAAACTAACTAAGCATGAAATAGTTTTAGCAAGAATGACACATGGGGCAGTGATATAGCTGCAGGTTAGGTCAAATTAAATATTGTCGAGCTTGTCAAAGACGACCATCCATTGTCAAAGAGAAAATTAAATGTGGTGACCTAAGACAGGTGGTCTACTTGGATGATGTTGTTATAGTTATAGTATTGTAAAAAAAAAAAATGCGGGGGTGGGGGGTGGATATGGGAGGTGGTCATATGTACAGGTGATTGTCTGGGTCATGTGATCGTTAGAGCAAGTTTTGTTCTAGTTTGGTTTTGGTTTGTGTTTTTTAAACACCCACATACACGACAATAAGAACAGCAACAACAATAATACTGACCTTAGCAATAAAAGTGTGTGTGGGGGGGGAGATACAACAACAGACCACCATGGCAGTACCCCTTACAGTGACAAATATAGCCTCATCACAAACGTGAAAACAGCAGCAGCGATGATCATTACAAGACAATATTAACGACAACAATATAACACAACAATATAACACAACAATATAACACAACAATATAACAGCAATAACAACAGCAACACCCCCACCACCACCACCACCAACCACAACAACAACAACAACAGCGACGACGACGATGACAATAAAAGCTGTTATCGTAAAAGCAACAATGACCACTTCAATTACAAAAACAACAACAGCAACAACAACAGCAACAACAACAACAACTGTAATCGCAAAAGCAACAATGATCACTTCACTTACAACAACAACAACAACAACAACAACAACAACAACAACAACAACAACAACAAAAACAACAACAAGAGCAACAACATCAACAACAACAACTACAACTACAACAGCAGCAGCAGCAGCAGCAACAGCAACAATACCAACTACAACAGCGTGAGTTAAGAGTACAACAATAAAGGTAGACCGCTCTCCACTCCCTGGCAGCAAAGATCGATCACAACGGCTGTACAGCTGCTAGGGTCAAGCGATGTCAGGCTGTGATCGGTAGGATCCGCTAGTCCTGCAAAAAGACCAATTGGCCTTTGTCTTTAGCTGCACTGATCGTGACGGATTTCCCTTCTTAA